GCCTAGGAAACACTTCATCAGGAACCGCTAAGACGTGTTCCAATGTTCATAGTGTGTTCTCCATTTGTTAATCGTTTAGCTAGCTGAGCAAGGATACACGGGAGGTGTCTTGTAGCCTAGCCTTGGTCAAAAATTACCCACAATACACCACAGTATTTTCAAAAAGGCTGCGGATCAAAAGCCGGCAGCTACTTCGGGGACAATTTTCAAGTTTAAAAGTAAGTCAGCCAATTTAAAATGTTTTTTTTTTTAGATAAGTTATCTAAGGTTTGTTAGTTGCTTAGTAGTTGCCGCTTTGGTGGCTAGCAGGTAGTAACTCGCTTGTATTTTTAATCTCATAAAAATTTACACAATTTAAAAAGTAAAAGGCTCGTTATACATTTCTATTGAAACTATTACATATCGAATATAACGTTATCTCCCATGTCACTTGACGTTACGTGACCGCCGTGGAAGCCGCGGTCACGTGATGCAAGTCTGTTCCATTTAACCGTTTTCTTTGACCAAGAAAGGACAATGTCCTTCTAAGCAAGGCGCCTGGCCTCGCAAGACATCGCCTCACAAGGCAAGGCGCCTTGACATTGAGAAACACCCAGAGACACACAGCTTTCTTCTTTTGTTTTTAATTTTATTTTTTGGCAGTAGTTAGTAGCCTCAGGGTTTTAAAAACACCCACACCACCCTTCCTTAAAGAGGGGAACAGTTTTTGAGCTCTGTGTGGCTCAAATAACCAGACATTCTGCATTCTTCCAATTGAACTACAAAAATCTTAGCGAGAAGAAAAAATGGCGGATCGGCTCTGTGTTTAGTCGGATGTCCATGACCCTTTTTGGCAGTTATCGTGACGACATAATCAAAAGATGTCGTCGTCATTTTCTTCCTCCGCTTATCCAGGTCCCGGTCGCGGGGGCAGCATCCCAACTAGGGAGCTCCAGACCGTCCTTTCACCGTCCAGCTCTTCCGGCAGGACCCCAAGGCGTTCCTGGACCAGATTGGAGATGTAACCTCTCCAAAGTGTCCTGGGTCGACCCGGGGGCCTCCTGCCGGCAGGACATGCCCGAAACTCCTCCCCAGGGAGGCGTCCAGGAGGCATCCTGACCAGATGCCCAAACCACCTCAACTGACTCCTTTCGATCCGGAGGAGCAGCGGTTCTACTCTGAGTCCCTCCCGAATGTCCGAGCTCATCACCCTATCTCTAAGGCTGCGGAGGAAACTCATTTCGACCGCTTGTATCTGCAATCTTGTTCTTTCGGTCATTACCCAAAGCTCATGACCATAGGTGAGGATTGGGACGTAGATCGACCGGTAAATCAAGAGCCTGGCTTTCTGGCTCAGCTCCCTCTTCACCACGACAGATCAGGTCAGCGTCCGCATCACTGCAGACGCCGAACCAATCCGCCTGTCGATCTCCCGATCCCTCCTACCCTCACTCATGAACAAGACCCCAAGATACTTAAACTCCTCCACTGGAGGTAGGACCTCTCTCCCGACCCTGAGTTGGCAAGCCACCCTTTTCTGGTCGAGAACCATGGTCTCAGATTTGGAGGTGCTGATCCTCATCCCAGCCGCTTCACACTCGGCCATGAACCTACCCAGCAAGAGCTGGAGGTCAGAGCTGGATGAAACTAGGAGGACCACATCATCCGCAAAAACAGAGACGAGATTCTCCTGCCACCAAACTCGACACACTCCACACCACGGCTGCGCCTAGAAATTTTGTCCATAAAGGTAATGAACAGAACCGGTGACAAAGGGCAGCCCTGGTGGAGTCCAACCCTCACCGGGAACAGGCCCGACTTACTACCGGCTATGCGGACCAAACTCACGCTCCTCTGGTAAAGGGACTGAATGGCCCTTAACAGAAAGCCACCCACCCCATACTCCTGGAGCATCCCCCACAGGGTGCCTTCTCCAAATCAACAAAACACATGTGTATTGGTTAGGCAAACTCCCATGCCCCCTCCATCACCCTTGCAAGGGTATAGAGCTGGTCCACAGTTCCACGGCCAGGACGAAAACCACATTGCTCCTCCTCAATCTGAGATTCAAAGATCGATCGGACCCTCCTCTCCAGTACCTTGGAGTAGACCTTTCCAGGGAGGCTGAGGGGTGTGATCCCCCTATAGTTGGAACACACCCTCAGGTCATCCTTCTTAAAGATGGGGACCACCACCCCGGTCTGCCACTCCACAGGTACTGCCTCCGATGACCACGCAATGTTGCAGAGATGTGTCAACCACAAGAGCCCTACAACATCCATAACCTTGAGATACCCAGGACGAATCTCATCCACCCCCGGTGCTCCGCCGCTGTGTAGTTGTTTGACTACCTCAGCAACTTCTGCCCTCGAGATTGGACAGTCCATCTCCAGGTCTCCTGCCTCTGGTTCCTCCTCGGAATGCGTGTAGGTGGGATTGAGGAGCTCCTCAAAGTATTCCTTCCACCGTCCGCCTATAGCCCCAGTTGACGTCAGCAGCTCCCCATCCCCAATGTAAACAGTGTGAGCGAGTTGCTGCCTTCCTCTCCTGAGGCACCGGACAGTTTGCCAGAACCTCTTTGGAGCCGATCTATAGTCTTTCTCCATGGTCTCACCAAACTCCTCCCACGCCCGAGATTTTGCCTCGGCAACTGCCACTGCTGCACCCCGCTTGGCTATCCGGTTCCTGTCTGTTGCCTCCGGAGACCCACAGACCAGCCACGCCCTGTAGGCCTCCTTCTTCAGCCTGACAGCTCCCCGAACCTCTGGTGTCCACCAGCGAGTACGGGGGTTGCCACCACGACTGGCACTGATGTTTTAGACAATTTAAAAAAACTTAACGGGTTAACAAATATGAGCAAAACTTTATAATAAAATATCTAAATAACACCTCTAGTGAATAATATAAGGTTTTTTGCACACTTAAGACACTTAAAATGTGAAACACACTGTATTAAGGGATAAAAATGTGGGTTTTTCATGATATGTCTCCTTTAACTAATATATTTTAGATATTTTATTGGGTGATATTTAACATTCCAAAAAATTGGGGGTTTTTTCAGTGTAGGTATTTATCATGCTGTCACAGAGATTCAGTTTACAATGACAGCAGAATGAATGAATCTTTGGCGAGTGCCACCGCAGCAATGGGGCACTGCAAGATGACGACCTTGCAACGCAGTTCCCTGCCAGGAAAACAGATGGCGCTATTCTGCTGTACCCTGCCACCATTACAGACACGTATAGGGAACCTAGTCATGCCCATCTACTTCTAGTGGATGGGTCCCTGGAAGAACGAAAAAATGAATGCAGGTTAATGGGGCTACAAAAGCTATTTTCTAATTCCGCTTGTTTTGTGCCATGGATTTCACATAAGATGTCCGTGAATTTTAAAGACACATTTTGATATTAAGAATGCGCTTATTTTCGAACAGGGGGAAATGCTATTTTAGGTTTTGTGTGAAAAGAAGTCCAGGACCACAAATGCACTTCACGAAAGTGACGTCATCGAACCAGACATGAAGACAACTGAGGGAAAAGGGCTGTAAGTTCAGCAAACTTCCCACAGGAGGAAAGAACCGCCATAAATCTGGTCATTTGGTAAGTAGCAGCTACGCTAGTGGAGAGGAGATTATGTGGTGATGTCACATATGCGATGTGCCGATTTCTGGTGTTTAGTCATGCTAATTACGAACTTTTACAAGCTGATAAATCTCAAAGTATGTGACTAGCGTGGTTAAGACACCCATCATTACTTTTCATTTAAATTGCAGTACAACATATGTGCGATCCAGGGCGTAAGGCAAAGTGGGTTAGAAAATAGCGTTTTTAGCCCCATTGACTTGCATTCATTTTTTTGTTCTTCCGGAGGCCTATGAGCCGACCGAAAAGGGAGGAGACTTAGGCTACCTATCCGGTTCACAATAGTGTATTTACTTTTGTGTTTACATTGTTTTAATGTATTTCAGTGACAAATTTTTCTCTCATTCTCCTCCACCTCTTCCTGCGATCGGCACCTCTAAACCCACATTTCTCATCATTTCCGTCCATGAATAAAACACTTGCTGTGTATCTTTGTAATCCTTCAGTCAGGCTGGTGAATAAATGTTCATATTTTTGGACTTTTCCGTGATTCAATCTGTTCTGTGTCTGCCACTAGATATCTTTTTATTTTTTGAGGGGGCAATGGCAATGCTATTGACAAATTAACAGGAAGTGGTGTCCTGAGCAGCTTGCGGTCTCCTTCACTTTCGATGGATAGTAAAAAATTCGAGCATGTCAGAGAGCCCTTGCATCATTGCATAATGGTGTTGTGTGTCTCCGCATCTACGCACACGGTTAATTTTGGCTTAACGCTGTGACTCTTCTCGTCTGAGTTTACTCCTGCTATCAATACAACCTCGGCTTTCTGTTTTGCAGAAGAAATTGGTCCAACTTTCCTTGAAACAAAATAATCATAGGCCTCCAGACTTTTGAAAGCCTTTCATTTCTCATGACAGTGATTTCTGTTAAATAGGAATGAATGTATCCCCAGCAGATTTGTGGAAAAATCACCAGCGAATCGGACCAACGTTTTTCGTCATCCCAGAGCTCATATGGGCTTTGTATTACTTTAATTTCTCCTTCAGTGCAGATTTTAAGCTTCTCTCTTAACCCGCTCCTGTCTTTAGATGTTAAAGTATTTATACAATGGGGATTTTGCCTGCAAACATTCTTGAAGGTAAACATTGCATATTTGTAGCAGCATGTGTTTGCTACACAGCCACTCGCCCATGCGCACAACAATGAATAAAGATGTCAATAAAGATGCTTCAGCTAAAGAAAACTATTCAGCACTTATTTTCAGGGATTAAACATTCCTCACACATTATTTTGTATGACATGTTAAACAAACAGGTGTAATATTTAAATGGATTACCATGAGCTCTGTCATTTTAGAGTTGAATGAGGAGTCTATTTTCACCCGAGGCTTTCTCAACAGTGTCTTTTTTTATTTTCATCATAGTTTGGCAACATCAAGCAAAGTAGATTACACATATTGAAGCTCAGTAACTTACATTTGTTGAATCAGCATATTACTTTGTCCTTGAACTGATAACAGAACAACAGTTGTTTAAGTGCCAGATTAAAATTTTTATCCCTGAGGCCATAAATGAGAGGACACAAACATCTTGGAGCAAGGTTAAAAAATATGTAGTCCAAGAACCTGATGGTCACAAAGAACTCATAGTCGATCAGAAGCGCTGCACTTTCAATGAGGGGAGACCATAGCTGGATGAGGCACAGCAGCAGCTGTAAACCATGCAGAAGCACCGTTCTGAGGCCTTTTTGTGTTGACTCCTTATTTTCTCCTGATGCCACTTTGGCCACTTTCATTATTTGGATATAGGAGAAAGTAATGATGATGCTCATGACCAAAAAGTAGAACTGACTTAGAGCTGATCTCAGATGACCCTGCCATTTGTAGAAAATGAAAACTTCCACTGAACAGAGTGCGTTTTCCTTGAGGTAGCTGAACGAGGCTGATATAAAATAGATCGTAAGAGTCACTAAGCAGGGGACACAACTGATGCAGTGAACGATGAGGACACTCTGCAAAGCTCTCAAAAGGGTGCACAGCTCTGCATGCCGCAGAGGCATGCATATAGCCACATAACGCTCCAGGGCCATTGCTGTCAGAGTCACCGGGGTGACAAAGTTGTAAACAGATGAAAAAATAACAATGATGAGACATGACCTGACTTGAATAGTAACACGGAAAAAAGCCAACATTAGCGCCAAATTTGTCATAATCAAATTCACACAGTCGGACAGTAATGTGTTGGCAAATAAAATGTAGCGCATGTTTGTGTAGAAGGTGTCCTTTTGGAAAAATGTGATAATTAGCAAAAGGTTAATGCAAAAACAAACCCCCGCAAAAATCTCAGAAAGAATCACAGTGTCAGCAAATCTTTTAACTGAGACATTACTAATAACAAGAGAGCTATTAGCCATTTAAATAGTATACACAAACACACAAATAACTTTAATACAGTTGCAATTCTTCTGACATGAGGAAATCCGTAAAATTAAATGATTGTCTTGAATAACTGCTCACAGTGTTCTGAAATGGTGCAACTTACTTAGATGAATAAAAAACATCAGTTAAAAGACACAAGCTCACTCCTGCTATGAAACCCTCTGAAAACTGACGTGCAAACTGCGAGAATCGCTTATTTGAGCTTAACAGAAGGCTTTGATGTGAACAAACACATTGTTGTTGTCAAGCACAACTTAATTAGTTACCAGCTTGGAAACATTTGTTGACAGTAAACACAAAAGCGTGTGTGTGTGTGTGTGTGTGTGTGTGTGTGTGTGTGTGTGTGTGTGTGTGTGTGTGTGTGTGTGTGTGTGTGTCTTCTGACCATGCGTGTGTGTGTGTGTGTGTGTGCGTGTGTGTGTGTGTGTGTGCGTGTGTGCGTGTGTGTGTGTGTGTGTGTAAATCTTCAGGGGGAGGATAACTGTTCCTACAAATGTTTTTGTGAGAAATACACATTAAAAAGTGGGGTACAGGAGATGCTATTCTGTTGCATTTTGTCGTATTAAAATGTTTCTCACATGCCAGCGTAACCAGTAAGTGAAATGTTTTGTCATAAAAATGAATCATTGTAATCACCTTTGAACCGTACAATGCTGGAAAAACCTCATCCAGTTATTGTTTGCATTTACCACTCTTTGTGCACAAATCATGCATTCTCGGCTTGAAGCAGTTGAACAGGAAGCAAATGCAGACCAAGGCTTCTTAGACATCTAGAATTGGTCTAGAGTAGACTGACGGACTCAATATAGACTTGATCTGCACGTCCATGCAAGGTTGACTATTTGGTGGGACTGTTGTGTTGTTGAGTGTCAATTGTTTTCAAGTTGTCTATTACAATAAAAATTGGAGCAGATGTTACAGTAAGGTCACAGACAATGGTAGTGGCTATCACAGAATGTGGCCATCTACATCTCAGTAATTATTCAGATGTCAGAGGTCAAATGACAACGACCAATCCTGACCAATCACAAGCCTTCGTTCTCCGTCTGGTTGGGCAGAGTTTTAGAAAAGAGAGCTCGACTCCGTCCGTCCTTGTGAGGGCTCTCCAGCAGGCTTGCAAGGACGGAAAATGGTCCGTCCCGACGCAGACGGAGTATGCGTTAGGCTTAAGACAGACAATTGCCACAATATTGCTACCAAGCAAGGTGGAACGAATGCTGCAAAATTCGTGGAACGCCATGCCATCAATGCGCATTTTTAAAACACACCTTCCAGTATCATGCTATATAGCCTTACTCATTTTAAAAGATATTGTGACAACCTGAGGTTGCACCGCATTGCTCATTTCCTGCCTCCTCTCTGCCTTGATGGCAAATGCTCAGCACCTGTGCGCCACGCCCAAGTTCACCTTTCAAAAGGAAAGCCACACTGTCTCTCCCCCAGTTTTTTTCTCCAATTGTTTCCTTTGATTCCCTTGGATGTATTGTGCTGGAGAAAGGGTCAGCATGTGGAGCGTCTTCCTGTGACGGCGTGGATTCACCTATCATTCCAGAGGAGAATAGTTTCTGAATTGTGTCCTGCTAGAAAAATCGTTCACACCCCTGTCAACTCCTTATTCCATGGCAAAGACAAAAGAAGATAAAAAAGGAAAATTTAAATGGAGCTACACCAAAATCAAGGACAAGACTGCTGATTTGTCTTCATGGACTGTGCTGTATGCTTTATTCTGCTGGTTGCCTACACTTTTTATAGAAATTGAGGGTGTATACAAAATAATTTTAAGTATGTGTCCCTGTGTGACAGAGGAAAACTGGGTTCAAAGCTAATTTCTTAAACACTCACTATCATTCTATAAGTCAGGAGGGAGACCTGACTGGCATCCCATTATCGCGTCATACCCGTGTCACAACCCGTGCACGCGCATTGGGTCCACAGCGCGCGTGTGAACGGGACTCGCGCGCGTGTGAACGGGACTCGCGCGCGTGTGAACGGGACTCGCGCGCGTGTGAACGGGACTCGCGAGCGAAAATATACATGGCGAGAGGTCATTTGTGCACAGAGAGGGAGCAAACTGTGTCTGTGAGCGCACAAGGATGTGCACAAGTGACAAACCTGCGTGCGCGCGTTGTCAACGAGCACACGGCAGAGGAAAACGTGCGCGCGCGGCAGCCTCTGTGCGCGCTCGGCAGCCTCTCTGCGCGCTCGGTTTCTGACTCCTGCTCGCTCGGCTGTAAGGGCTTTTGGCACTCTGGAGGCGTGGCCTGTGGCAGATCTTGTCTGTCCTCTGATTGGTTAGTTCACCCCGCACTTTACCCTCTATCTATATAAAAAAGTCTGATGTTCAGTAGTTGCTGGCATAGCTCAGCTGGGAGAGCGGGTGACTCTCTCCCCGGAGGATCCAGGTTCGAGTCCGGGCAAGGAAAATGTAGTAGACGTCATGTTAATTTTTCTTAATTTCAGGTATTTTACAGTTGTGACCGTTCAACTGTCATTAAACGTCCGAATGTTTGCTGGGCAGTGTTTTAAAAAGTGCACATAAGCTAGATGGTTTTAACCATATAAAATTACATTTTTTGTGATACTGGAAAAATACATACTGAAATAAAACTACTGATTGAAAACTTTATGACTGTGGTTGTACAATATATGACTCACTAATACACTGCAAACTCCCTTAGAGTGGGGCTTCCAGAGAGAGAGAGAGAGAGAGAGAGAAAAGTTCTTGCCTCATTAATGAATTGTTTATTTTTTTCAGTATTTAATTGACAAATTATCCTTTCAAATAATTAATTGATGAGTTACATAATTGTCCATTTCATAAAGAAACTGCATATCAAGCTTTCATTCAGATGACCTTCAACAGTGCTGCACCCTGCTGAGGGACATCCGAGTAAAACCTTGAGATGGCCATTTTCTGTTCACTAACTTGCTTTAGTAAATCCTTACTTTTGTTAAATAAATCAGTTGTTGAACCCCCACTCCTCTGTTTGGTCTCCTTTCTTATTACAGCCCGCCACTTCCAGTCTGGGTTGTAACAATCTGCAGACAGATTTCTGAGTATCTCCTCCTTTACACAGATCCTCACTGAGCCATGTACTGTGAACAAATAGTTTCTCCATGATATTATCCAGCAAGGTCCCGTTTTTGTCAAAACAAGGGTGAGGTAATGAAAAAATAGAAATATTTCATTAAATTAACATTTAAATTATTTATATGCATCATTAAAATAAAAAAAAACATGTTTTGAAATATATAAAGTGCACCAAACTTGACTCAGTCCATTCAACAATTCTAAATGGACAATTATGTAACTCATCAATTAATTATTTGAAAGGATAATTTGTCAGTTAAATACTGAAAAAAATAAACAATTCATTAATGAGGCAAGAACCTCTCTCTCTCTCTCTCTCTCTCTCTCTCTCTCTCTCTCTCTCTCTCACTCTCACTCTCACTCTCACTCACTCTCTCTCTCTCTCTCTCTCTCTGGAAGCCCCACTCTAAGGGAGTTTGCAGTGTATTAGTGAGTCATATATTGTACAACCACAGTCATAAAGTTTTCAATCAGTAGTTTTATTTCAGTATGTATTTTTCCAGTATCACAAAAAATGTAATTTTATATGGTTAAAACCATCTAGCTTATGTGCACTTTTTAAAACACTGCCCAGCAAACATTCGGACGTTTAATGACAGTTGAACGGTCACAACTGTAAAATACCTGAAATTAAGAAAAATTAACATGACGTCTACTACATTTTCCTTGCCCGGACTCGAACCTGGATCCTCCGGGGCGAGAGTCACCCGCTCTCCCAGCTGAGCTATGCCAGCAACTAATGAACATCAGACTTTTTTATATAGATAGAGGGTAAAGTGCGGGGTGAACTAACCAATCAGAGGACAGACAAGATCTGCCACAGGCCACGCCTCCAGAGTGACACAAGCCCTTACAGCCGAGCGAGCAGGAGTCAGAAACCGAGCGCGCAGAGAGGCTGCTGAGCGCGCACAGAGGCTGCCGCGCGCGCACGTTTTCCTCTGCCGTGTGCTCGTTGACAACGCGCGCACGCAGGTTTGTCACTTGTGCACATCCTTGTGCGCTCACAGACACAGTTTGCTCCCTCTCAGTGCACAAATGACCTCTCGCCATGTATATTTTCGCTCGCGAGTCCCGTTCCACACGCGCGCGAGTCCCGTTCACACGCGCGCTGCCATGTATATTTGCGCTCGCGAGTCCCGTTCACACGCGCGCTGTGGACCCAATGCGCATGCACGGGTTGTGGCACGCTTTAAACGCCATATCCCATAATATTAACTAAACCAACCCAGATGAGAAACTGTTATAACCATCGACATTAATATACTGGACATCTCCTTTCCATAGGCTCCAATAACACGTTTTTGAGGGTAAATGGGAGGTGGCCACCACCGCCATTCTGACAGTGTCACAGGTTCCGTCAAGCCCAGACAATTCCAAAAAAGGGAAGAGAGGAGGAGTTGGGGGTGGGGCTGTAAGGCTGGGATCAACTGACGACACCCGGTCGAACTAGCTACAAGCTAACCTGAAGCTAACCCAAAGCTAACGCGGAGGTGGGAGCTAAGCTAACGGAGGTAGCAACCTAGCTACAACCGGAGTTAACTGTGCACAACACCAGAGCTTCTGAGTCAGAGATACACCGGGCTGACCGCTGGGGAGAACCTGGTGGAACACAGAGGTCTCCCGAGAGCTCCACAAGCCGGCAGCCGCACAGCAGACGAGCGCTGCTGCGATCTGAGATGCGCAGAGCTGCCGCTGGAGAGAACTGGGTGGAAAGGTTTCCATCCCAGAGCTCCACAAGCCGGCAGCCCACGCATCAAACAGAAGCGGCGATCAGACAGAGATGCACCGAGCTGCAGGGAGACCCAGCTGGCAGCCCGGCGCAACAAACAGAAGTCGCGATCAGACAGAGATGTGCCGAGCTGCGGGGAGGGGAGTAACGGGTGGAAAACATCGGTCTCCCGAGAGCTCCACAAGCCGATAGTGGGAACCCAGCTCCACCAACATGTTATGTTTCAACCCATTTTCTAAAGTGCAGCATTATGTTAAATGCACTGGGTTTTACCCTATTACATTTAAATTTCATGGTTTAACAGTACATGTTAAAATCTAAGCTCAGCTCGGCAGTAACCTAAAATACATAAATATAATTTTACTTACCGAAAAAAATGAAGTGGAGACTCCTTGGATGCTCTATTAGTGCAATTAATACCACAGCAAGTCATTTTGTCCAACAATTGCACAAAAATATCCAAAAAAGAACGCACAACCATAGAGACTCAAAATGCCGGAGCAGTTTCCAGGCCAGACCGAGGCTCTACTGAGGCCTTTCCACGGAGCTAGCTCTGTGGTCACGTGGGTCTGATGCTCATTAATTATACAGAATTTTAGGCTTTTAATACACTTAAACAGAAGAGTGAGTAAAAAATTCACCCCCCTCAGAGTTGTCATGAGTGTAAACTAGATCATTTAAACCAAAAACATGTTTTGGAACCAGGCTGTAAACATGTTTATTTCTGTTGTGAAATTGGTATTTTTAACATGGGAGTCAATGAGGATTTGCTTGCTTCTGACACCAGCCCCTAGTGGATGAGGGTGGAACTGCAATTTTTGGTTCTTGCGGGTTTGCCTCAATTTTAGAGCCGCATTGTGGGGGCTTGGTTACAACATAAAGTAACATAAGTGTTCTGCAATTAAACTGAATGTAAAATTTATGTGTGGGTGAAAAAAGTTGTTTTTCCACAGTTAATTTGATTTATTTTTGTATGTTTTGCTCATCCACATGGCAAAAAGTGGTTACAGCATCCACTTTGCCTCTGAAAATTAAATCAGCTCACTCACGAGAGGCGAGAGCTCTGCTCCACATACTTCGTAAACGTAATGATCCAGCCTGCCTGCATACACACTAACTAGTAGGCTGCAAGCTGACCCCGACACCAGCAGCTAAGCTAGGTTTGTCAAAGCAAAAAAAGAAATGCTAACCAGCAGCTAAGAAGCACAAAAACAAACTTGTAGGATGTTGGACATATTTTTTTATTTAACGGGTTCACTGTGGATTTCTTATACAAACAGTGTGTGTTAGGTAATTTTTATATTACTCCCATATAAGTCAAAGCACACACAGAGGGATTAGATTGATCATTTGTATTTTCCATGACCCTTGAACCTGAAATAAACACACATACACAAAGAGGATTTCATTTTACACTGTGTTGCCAAACAGTGGAGAGAAGACGCAGGGACAACCCCCTCCGGAGCTGTTCCCAAGTCTCTCTGTCACTCCTCAGTTTCACAGGGGTTTTATTGACAACCAGGACAGAGAAGGCGGGCCTTCTCAAGTTACAGACTTACAGGCTCTTCATCTCCCAGGACACCACATTCCAGAGATAACAGAGATAACAATGAGCTTACAGGAGCAGACGTTTTTTTAAGACTCGATAACAGTAAGCTTTACAGAAGAGCGCAGACGTTCTTTAAAACTCAAAAAGGAACATATAGAAAATACCCAACAGTGTGCATAAAAGACCAAAGTTCTGGATCTGGATCCTGCTCTTGTTCAGTTTCTGACTAATAAAACTTCCTTCCATCCATTTTCTGTGCTGTACTTATCCGCACAGGGCTGCAGGGGGCTGGTGCCTTTCTCCAGCAGTCTAATAAAACTTGCAGGAGGAAATACCATACCATACCACTTTATTTATATAGCGCTTTCAACACGGCATTACAACCATACAAAGCGCTGCACAAAAAACAAGCAAGAAAACACAAGTTAAAATAGTCAGGTAAATGGAAAATGTAAAAAGGAGCAAAGAAATAAAACAACAGACTATTAACAGTAAAAGCAAATAAAACCAGAATATAAAAACACAAAATTAAAATTGAATCGTCTAGGAGGGACAATGGATGAGCTAAGGAGTTATGGAATTAGGGATCGAATGCGTAAGTGAAGTAGAAGGTCTTCAGACGAGATTTAAAGACGCCGATAGAGGAAGCTTGCCTAACCTGCAGTGGTAATGAGTTCCATAACTTTGGGGCGCGGACTGAAAAAGCCTTTCCCCACGAGGAAATAAATAAGAATAAAATAGTAAATCTTAGAATGACCAACTAGAATTACAATTTATCTTCCCAGCAACAGATTACCCACCTAATCATAAGACCTTTCAGTTCTTTTATATCTATTAAACATCCAACATTTATCAGTTTAGGTGACGTGTAAAATAAACAAAAACAAGTGTGATATTCATTTGAATCACCATCAGTTTTTCAATCACCATTTTACTTTGTTGTTGAACTGATTGCAGAACATGAATTGTTTAAGAGCAAGTAAAAAAGCTTCATCCCTGAGGCCATAAATGAGAGGATTCAGACACCTTGGAACAAGGTTAAATATTATGTAGTTTAAGTATCTGAGACTCTTGTAAAGGTAGAGATCAATCCGAAGCACAGCAGCTTCAACAAAGGGACACAACAGCAGGATGAGACAGAGCAGCAGCTGGAAACCATGAAGGAGCACCGTTCTGAGGCCTTTTTGTGTTGATTTCTTATTTTCTCCTGATGCCACTTTGGCCACTTTCATTATTTGGATATAGGAGAAAGCAATGATGATGAACATGATTAAGAAGTAGAACTGACTCAAAGCTGATCTCAGATCACCCTGCCAACTGTGCAAAATGAACATTTCTGCAGTGCATACTGTTGTTTGTTTAAAACTTTCAAAGGTGGCAAAAAAAACAAACAGTAAAAACACGAAGCAGGGAATAAAACTGATGCAGTGAATGATGAGGACGCTCTGCAAAGCTCTATATGTGGTGCACAGCTCGGCATGACGCAGAGGCAAGCAAATAGCCACAAAACGCTCTAGGGTCATTGCTGTCAGAGTCACTGGGGTGACAAAATTATAAAGACATGATATAATGACCAAAAAAAGGCACAAGAACTTGCTAATGGCAATTTTAAAATATGTTAAGATCAATAGTAAATTAGTAAGAATTAGATTTATGCAGTCAGATGTTATTGTGTTGGCAAATAACATGTAGCGCATGTTAGTGTAGAAAGTATCCTTCAAAGAAAATGTTTTGATCATTATGAAGTTAATGCAAAGAAGAATTGAGACCAAAACCTGAACAAAAATCACTGCGTCAATGCCTGTTCCAATCGAAGAATTTAAACTGATCAGAGAGCTGTTGTTAGCCATTTAAACTTTAGAAAATCAAAGTTTAAAAACACAAAAATTCTACTGAGGCTTGGATTGGAATTTCACACACTTTTCAGGAAATTATAATCTCACTCTTAATAGAAGAAAAGACACAGGGAGGATATCAGAAGTTAACTATACGAGTTCATTCCTGCTATGAAACCCTCCCAACACTAATATGCACTCTGAGGACAAATGTTCTTTTGAGCTGAACAGAAAGCCTCTGATGTGCAAATGGCACTCACACAGTGTCGCCATCGCTACGCATCTTTATAGTTTCTCATCAAAACATCATTTGAAAATGTCTTTTAACTGACAGCATTTTACACAAAAATACAAACGAGAGCCATTTGAATTTAGTTTACCTCAGAAGGTCATTTTCAGAAAACAAACACTTCAAAATGTTGACACATGGTGGATTTACAATAAATGAAGTCATGGTTCTATTTCATGTAGGCTTCGCCCTTTTGGACTGCTTTTCCAATTAACCACCAATCGCTGAAGTCCGCCTACTGGGCAGGCCCCGGTTCGGTATTGACCCTTTGGATGTGACGTCACGCCGCCCATGAGACCGCCCCCTTAACCATTGTTGATGGTATTTTGTGACTCTCCTCTATTCCTTCAGACTCTGGGACATTAATTTCCAAAGGAAATGCAAAATTTACTTTCATCAGAGAGAATAACTTTGGGACACTCAGCCGCTGTTCAATCCTTTTTGTCTTTAACGCAGGCGAGACATTTCTGCCTCTGTATCTTGTTCAAGAGTGACTTGACACAAGCAACGCAACAGCTGAAACCCATGTCTTGCATACATCTGTGCTTGGTGGTTCTTGAAGCACTGGCTCCAGCTGTAGTCCACTCTTTGTGAATCCCCCCACATTTTTTAATGGGTTTGTGTCAAAACCCTCTCCAGGGTGTGGTTATCACTATTGCTTGTACACTTTTTTTTTTTTTACCACATCTTGTCCTTCCATACATACCATACCATACCATATTTATTTATAAAGCACCATTTCAAAATAGCATGGCAGCTAACCAACGTGCTGTACATAAAAAGCCAAATGCTTGAACAAGAAACACAATAAGAACAGGCAAAATACATAAGAACAAAGCATAAATAGTCGGAGATAAAAATTCCTACTAAAAACAGTAAAATAGGAGAACAGTTAACAACACTATAAAATAATGCGACGAATGATAAAAACATTTGAAATGGCACAAATAAAACCAAATAAACTACCAGATGGTGCGAGGTGCCAGAAGTGTGCAACTGAATCATAAAAACGGAATTAAAAACTCAAATCCGGTGCTAGATTTTCATGAAAAGTGTCACGGAGGGAAGGCAAAACTAAAGAAGTGCGTTTTCAGGGCCGACTTGAAGCTGCTAACAGAGGGAGCCAGACGCACATGGACGGGCAGAGAGTTCCAGAGTCTTGGGGCTGCATAAGAGAAGGCACGCTCCCCCGTGATTTGTACCGAACCTTCGGAACAACAAGCAGCAGATGATCTGCTGACCGAAGGGCATGGGTGGGAACATACGGGGTCAGCAGGTCCGTCAGATAGGATAGGGATGGGCAATACAAAGCGTTGTAAACATATAACAAGACCTTGAAGTTAATCCTAAATTTGACTGGGAGCCGGTGTAAATCTGTGAGGATGGGTGTGATGTGCATGCGTCTGTCGGTGTTGGTTAAAAATCTGGCCGCAGCATTTTGAACCTTCTGCAGTTTGCTTAGGGCTGAAGCATCAATCCCAATCAGGACAGAATTTGCATAATCCAGACGTGAAGTAATAAAAGCATGAATGACTGACTCAAGATCCGGGCGTTTGAGGATTGATTTAAGACGAGTGATGCGGCGGATTTGGAAATCAAATCAAATCAAATCAAAGATACTTTATTAATCCCAGAGGGAAAATAGAGTAAAAATAGTAAAAAGCAGGACTTGACAGTAGCGTTGACTTGAGAAGACATTGAAAGGTCAGAGTCCAGGCTTCCCTTCGCCTCTCTGTTAATGTGCTTGGACACAGAGCTCTGTGAACAGCCAGCCTCTTAAGCAATGACCTTTTGTGTCTTGCCCTCCTTGTGCAAGGTGTCAATAGTCGTCTTTTGGACCACTGTCAAGTCTGCAGTCTTCTCCTTGATTGTGTACCCTACAGAGCTAGACAGAGACCATTTAAAGGCTTTTGCAGGTGTTTTTAGTTAATTAACCAATTAGAGTGTGACACCAGGGGTCTTCAGTGTTGAACTATTTCACAATATTCTGAGATACTGAATTTGGGATTTTCATAAGTTGTCAGTTTTAATAAACAAAAATAAAATAGAAATAAAACATTTGAAATGTATCATGTTGTGTGTACATCTTGTTTTGTGTGCGCACTAAGCGGTGCAAGTGATAATGCTGCTAGAATTCATAATTGTATCCTCATCAGCAGCAGCACTGCAGGTGCTCACCATGTCCAACATGTGCGTAAGCCAGGTCCTTAGTCAACTTAAACTTTCGCACATTTTTCCGCCACGTTTTCTTCTATAAATATCAAAGTTTGCGTGGAAAGTTGTTTACGCAGTTTTCCAACCCTGTTTTGTGCATAAGCAAGCTTTATAAATGAGACCCCTGCTCCTTAAGCTTGGTTTATGCTTGACGCGTCCGCGAGGTTCGCAAGTCTCCGCGCGGCGAAATTGCGTCATTTTAACAACCACACCCCTCCACCGCGCCTCCGCACGGCCCAAACTTTCCGCACCGCGCACCTAGGAAATTTTCTAACCACGCGGATGGTCAGACACGGAAAAACATGGCGGACTGGCAAGAACTAGTATGGCAGAGGTTCGTAAATACAGACATTTGTATGATTCAGCTCTCAGAGATCACCGTGATCAACATGTTGTTAATAATTCTTGGAGAGAAATAGCTCGCACTGTCGGAAAAGACGAGGACGCTGTTAAAAAATGCTGGAATGCCATGTTGTAAACAACAGTAGTTTTTACTTCTGCTATGGTGTAGTGTTGGATGCATGCCGTAGAGCTCCGTGCTGCCCCCTACAGTTTGGGAGAATATTGGCTCACCGCTGAGACAAGCCGCATGAACCATAAACGCTGCGAGTTGTGAAGCGCGTTCCATCCGCGAGCCGCATCACCAAGTGGAAAGTGAATGCGTCAAGCATAAACCAAGCTTAAGGCCACTGAAGCGGATCCCCTCAACACCTTGGCTTAAGCCTGGTTCATGCTTCTCCGTCAGCTCCGCAAGGGCCAGACACGCACGGATTGACGGAAGCGTTTTGCTCTCATACTTCTCAGTCTCCTGGAGAGTGTTGCAAAGCAATTGCCCGGCAGGACAACAGAGGGCGTATCGCTGTTCTGTGGTATCCTGTCATGTATCGGTCCAAGATCGTGTGTTTATATTGTGTTTTTTGTGTATATAAGAGACTTTTAACACGGACAAATTTGTCTCTCATTCTCCCATCGCTTCATGCGCTCCCCACCTCTAAACCCACGTTTCCTGTCATTTCCGTCCACAAATAAAACGCTTGCTGTGCATCTTTTCACTCCTCCAGTCACTGGAGAATGAAACGTTCATATTTTTAGAGTTTTTTCGCGAGGTATTCTTCAAGCTTCTCCGTGTCTGCCGCTATTTATCCTCAGCTCTCTTTGCAATGGCGGCGCTGTAAACAACAGCGGCGTCCTGACCAATCACAAGCTTGCGTAATCCGTCTCGTTCGACGGATGTTTAAAAAAGTGGGCTCGACTCCGTACGTACTTGCGGGCCTACCGGAGCCCTACGCGAGGACGGATACTGGCGTTGCGTGTCTCCGCACTGACGCAGACGGAGAAGCATAAATCAGGCTTAAGTCTTCAATGTTTTATATGTAATCCCATTCTTCATTTTGGTCGTTGTTTTGTTTGTTCTTGTGGCTGTAAAGAACATGGAATTGCCTCTGTGCATGAAACGTGCAATATAAATAAAGCGTTCTTTTCTTGTCTAGATTAGTAGATTTGCTTTAGTTTGTGAGACGTCTGTCGTGTTACATGACTCAAACTTAACCAAGTTTTAGTTGAACTTTTAGTTCTAATCTGACTTTAGCTCTGTTTAGATGTACGGTTCATGTTTTTGTGGCTGCAAAACGAGTGCAATCCATCATTGTTCTCTACCATGTTTGTCACATGAAATATGATTTGTTTCTTATTATTTGTCTCAAAAAGTCCAACTGAGGACTGTTTTTGCAAACTAGACTGTGTCTAGAAAACCTCTGAACAAAACAACGGTTGCATTGCCCTTACGTTGTCTTTTGTGCTTTTCTTGTACAATAAACCTTAACTAAGCCAACTGTGCTGCTCATGCAAAAATCTGAAAATACTTCAGAGTTAAACCATCAAACTTAACTGCAGCACTTTAATAGTTTTATGGTGATTGAAATAAAACTCTTGTGACAATTTTTTCTGTATTGTAAAAGTTGTATTTAAGTTTTTGATTTGATGTGTCAGACCTTCACTTTGGGCTGTCCTGAGGAAGTTACAGTGTGGTCCTGTTTTGTTTTTCATCAGAGTTGTTTATTTTAATGATGATGATCATTAGCTGGTTGTCTGTATTCCTGCGTGTGTTAATGAATTCCTCTGAAACTAATTACAAGTGTTGGTTTCATTAATAATTCAAAGACTGGTCTGTTTACGAACTCTTAACAAGAGCAAAACCAACTTCGGTATGATTCAAAAAGGGAACGTTTATCTGTAACTTTTTTTGTAATATTTATCATTTTATTCAATAGGAGGAAAGTTAAGCTAAAAAATCATTGGGGAAAATATCATTTTGGAGTGCCGGTAACATCAGGAAGAAGGACAACAAGAAGTTGGTGAGATGCCAAGGGCTGAAAGAGAAAATAAAGAAACTGTGGAAAGTCAAGGCCTCAGTAGTGCTCGCATGGATCGGACAGCTCTGAGCCATGATCCCCACACTGGGAGAGGGGCTTACGAAAAAATGCCAATCACAAAGCATGCACACATTTGTGGAAGTATCTAGATCAAGGGTGGCCAACCCTGGTCTCCGAGGGCCGCTATCCAGCTGGTTTTAGTTGTTTCTCTTCACCTGTTTTGAATCCGCTGGTGATCAACAGGCTGCTGCAGAACCTGATGAGGTGAATCATCCAGGAATGAGGTGTGTTGAGGCAGGTAAACACCTAAAACCTGCCCTCGGTCGGGACCAGGATTGCCGATCCCTAATCTAGAATGATGCAGAGCATAGACTGTTACAATGCTAAACAACCCCTCAGCCGCTAACGCTAGCTCTGACAGCTCATGCTACCTGTCAGTCAAATCTAATATTCATAATTTTAATCATTTAATTACACCTGAACAGAAGAGTTACAAACAATTCAGAGTTGTCACGTCTGTAATCTAAATGTGTTAAACCTAAAATGTCTTTTTCTGAACCAGGCTGCAAGTATGTAGCCTGGCCTGCCAGACTTGTCCTGTTTAATTCTGCACAGAGAAAGAGTCTGGTAACTCACAGGCAGAGAGGCACATGAGGGGCGGGACTAGGCAGCTCAAAAATAACCAATCAGAAAAAAGATGGAATTGCTGTCTGTACCGCGCGACGCTGTAGTTTATTAGCCATAGTCAAAAATGGTGTCTGGCGATGGGGCGAATGTCTTTAGAAGAAAGCTTTTAGCGCTTCTACTTGTTGTGGTTTTTAAAACGTGTCCAAGTCATTTAGAACAAAGGAAAGAGCCTCAGTGAACTCCACTTCAGTCGCCGTGTTTATGACGAACTCGGCGTTGTGGTGTGTGACGTACGCTGCTCAGCGCTGATTGGCTCGGTTAGAATTCTCAGGGGGTGGGGTTGTTTGAATAGGAGAGTTCCCAGACCCATTCTCTGTGCAGAATTAAACAGAGGAGTCTGGCAGGCCAGGCTAGCAAACATGTTTATTTCTGCTGTGAAGTTGATGTATTTTTTTAACATGGGAGGTAATAAGAATTTCCTCTGTTTTGTAGCCACCACCTAGTGGATGAGGGTGGAACTGCAATTGATGTCACTTGTCTGTTCTGTTTCATATTTTTGTTAAAGTATGTAAACAAAATTACAAGAAAGAATATACATTCATTTTTGTTGTGAACATACACAACCTTGTTTTTACATTTTGTCATAAAGGAAAAGAAAAATAGATGTCACTTCTGTATAGGGTTCACTTTATTCAGACAGTTACGGCCCCTTGCTGCATGGTTGGTGACATTTCTTTAGTACGGAAGAGGATTCGGGCCACTGAAAAGAAAAAAAAAGAATTCAAACTTTTTTTCTCGGAATTCAAACTTTTGGAATTCTGAGTAAAAAGTCAGAATTCTCATTCTCTTCTTTTTTTCTTTTCAGTGGCCCGAATCCTCTTCCGTACTACAGGACGAGTAAATATTTAATATATGAATGAATGAATGAATGAAGCAATCAATCAAAACTTTTTATGAGATGCTTTTCATGTAGCAATTGCAGCTCAAAGCTCCAAACAAGATTACCCACAGCCAATTTCCCACCCCTCCCCCTTAGATTAATAGCATGATTACTTTTATACATCCCTCCCCTTACCCTAAACTTGACCCCATCATCGCACACAAAAGTTAACCTGTTATGGGAATCTGGGGTCATTTTGTAAAGCGCTTTGAGTAGCACTTTGTTTGAAAAGCGCTTTATAAATAAATCTGATTGATTGATTGATTGATTGATTGATTGATTGATTGATGTGAACAGTGAATGAAATCATGTCAGAACTGTAAATGTGTATGGTGTGTGTACATAATAACGTAAGTTCATCTTTAATCATTTTCATTCTATACAAAATCTGCAGATTTTAGAAATAGTATATCGGTGTCGGCAAATATCGGTTATCGGCCATAATAGTGATCTCATTATCGGTATCGGCCTAGAAATTACATATTGGTGCATCACTACTGATAAAAGATAAAAAGGAAAACATGAAACATAAATTCATACAGTAAATTACAAAAATTCATAATAAAGGTTGAAACAGGTTAAAATTATTTGTGTAAGACAACATAATGGAGAAAGGGGCAGACTCTGGCAGTGTTCTTCAGATGATAAAAACCTATTTTAGTGGTGTTCTTCAGGGTCAAAAATCACACCCAGGTTCTTCACTTGAAAAGAGAGATTAAAAGTTAGTGACTGAAGTTTATTAATAGTTTCTCTCTGCCTCAGAACCAATGACTAAACCTTCAGCTTTGTCTCAGTTGAGCTGGAGAAAGTTTTCTGCCATCCAGGATTTAATGCCTGAAATGCAATTAAAAAGTGCATCCACTGGCCGTATCATCGAGATTAGTTGAGTTAAGATGTTGTTTGGAACTGCAGTGAAATAAATGATCAACTTTAAAATTAAACACTTGGTTAATGAATACATTATGAAAAACGGTTAGTTAATGTTTTACGTTTATTTTTGTTTCCCCAGAAGATGGCAGTAATGTGCCATGATGATCTTCGAACCAGCCAACCGTGGTAGAAGAGTAGGAACCTTTGTTTCCTGGGAGGAATCTTTTATTGAGGCGGACCAAGATGGCCGCGCTCTGGAGACGATCCGCGTACTTCAGTTTCATCAGGTTGGGTCTAATTTCAGCTGGATATTGTGATTCTGTTAACAGCTGACAAGTGATTAAACATCGTGTATGTTTTCCTGACGGACCTTGAAGTCGGTAAAGAATTTGTGAAAGCGGGAGTGTTTCCTTACAAGGAGATAACGAGTGACCGGAAGTTGTTACATCTTTGTTTTTCACTCAGTTTGGTTTGAGATTAGCGTCCACTAACGCCAAACTATAAAATATGTTCTCAAAATGTACTCCGGTTTCTGTCCGATGATTTTCTGTGATGTTTAAGCTTGCTGTGGTGTTTTAAACTAATAGCGGTTAATCTGTATAGGAGTTCAGTTCGCTTCCTGTTCAGAAAACCCTCAGTCCGCAGTTCGCACAGATGGAGTCGTCTCTACTCAGGTGTTGCCTCGTTAGCTGTCTCAGGTGGTCTGTGCGCTGTGCCTTTTAAACAGGTGAGTTAATTGTTTTGTAACAGTAGATAGACGCATTATGACGTTTACAGTTGCTTTAGATTCACCTGAACGATCTGGTTCTGCAGGTGGACGATCTGTCTCACGAGTCTCTGGTGAGAAGAGCAGCTTCTCTGGTGACAAACAGCTCTAACACCTTCCTCTCTCAGACCACCTTGGCTCTCATCGATGCCCTCACAGAGTACTCAAAGGTAGGGCTGGATAAGGAAGTAAATATGCGTGTTAACTGTTAATAGATAGATGACTGATAATCAGAGATTTTGATGGACCAAAACTGCATTTTTGTTGTTGTATATGGTTATTTTACTCATCTACAGGATTGTGTTTTTAATCTTTTCTATAGTTGCACCAATTTTGGATTAATTTCCATTCAAAAATACTTTATTAATCCCAGAGGGAAATTGATTGCTGTAGTAGCACAGAATAATAATAATAATCAAGTCATCAAAGAGTTATTGTATATTACAATGTACACGTTCCGCATTATGATCGATGGAAGAGATGGTTTGAATTTCCTCTTTCTCTGTCTCCGTTTTGCTCCCGCTCTGCACCCACGCTTCTTGTGTTTTAGCTCATTTGGGATTTGTGGCTTCAGTTGAGGCCTTTCCAATGTTAATCAGCTGCTTCCGATTTTAAACAGCTTGTTGCCATGGTTACGCATCATAACAAATGCTCAAAAAGTGAAAAAAGTTAAAAAAAATAGCTGTAGAAATCCTCCAAGCTTCGCAGCACCAGAAACAGGAAAGTAAAGTGTCCAAAAAAATACAGTTTTTCTTGAGCAACTCGAAGAAAAATGTCCAAGAAAAGGCTAAACTTACATATAGTCAACAGAGCTACCCCAACATGCAGCCACCCAGAGCAGCGCAGCGCATGTAGCTACTGTTTTACAATCAAGTTCAGCTCAGATCTGTCAATCCTGATTTATCTCAGAAGTAAAATTTACAGAAATAATTAAGAATAAATAAAATTTAAAACAATTTTCGGGGATTTAAACATTTCACATAAAAATCGTATCACTAGTTTGGATTATGATGGTGAGTTAACAGTGTGTGGGGGAATGCTTGTTTTTAAATCACTGAGTGGTGCGTTCACAAACCTGGATAAATAATAGATTTATTAGTTGCCAACTGGCAGATCATGGAAAATGCTCATGCTGAATAATTGACCAAGTCCAGTCACCAGCCAGTTTTCAAATGGAATTTTTTAATTTGCTGTAAATTTTTCTTGCTATTTCTCTTTAATAATGTTGGAATAATTGCTCTGTTGGACACCCATTAAAAATAAAAGACTAGGCAGCCATATTTTTTAGAAAACTTCAAAAATCTTCATGTCTTAGTTGGTTATTTAGAAGAATCATCCTGTGAGTGAGCTGGAAGGTCTCTGAGTTTTTCATGCAGGCTGAACTTGAAAATAGTCTCCTACACCTCTCTCCTCCATTAGCTTCTGATAGAAAATAGACGGTGAAACTCTAGGCTTAGAAAATCCTGACAGATCTACGTCAAGCAGTCGATTGGACTCACCCATACTGGCACTCGCGACGGGGAAGGATGTTCTTTTTTTAGCGTCCAGAACCAGCAGAGAGCGTCTCGGCTTGCAGGAGCTAATTGTCAGCATTAGCAACTCAACCACACAGCGTAAGCTCCTCCAGGCTTGTGTTATTTGTGTGATGAAACATCCATGTCACAGAGGTTTTGGGTGTCTTTCAACCGGAGCAAACAGGGCAGAGAGGCAGAAAGTCGTAGGCCAGCTATTAACAACTGGTTTACACCATAGGTTCACACACACACGTACAAACACACACACACAAACAGCAAGGGGGAGGGGGGTGTCGAGGAAAAGAGCCGAGAGGAAATGGAGTACACCAAGTGGTTAAAAGAAAAACTACGACGCGCCTAGAGCGGAGAAACAAGCGTCTGGTCTGAACTGACGAGCAGCGGCCGAATTTCGTGAGCGCTTCGCCTCCCGGCACTTCGGCGGCCGGTGTGTCCCCGGCGTAACTCTTGAATTAGGTCATTTGTGTATCCAGGAAACCAGAAGCAAAAATATAGTTTATAAAAATCTTTTTATTACTATATTTCTGACTAATGATCATACAGAATAACTGTAGATAAATGATTATTCAAGGTAATATCAACTAAGACAATAACCAACTCTGATGAAACATGATCAAGGCTTACGTCTCGGCCCTGCCGCTCCGGTCATCACAGGATCGTCGGCTAGCAGTGCCTACACCACGCTCAGGACAATCCAGACTCTTCTCATGCATCGTTCCACAAATGTGGAATGACCTACCTAACACTACCAGAACAGGGGCTTCCTTTTCAATTTTCAAGAAACTCCTGAAGACCCTGCTCTTCAGAGAGCATCTTCTAAACTAGCACCCTGCCTGCACCCGTCCCCCCTCTCTACCGTCCACTCCTTGTTCCCTCCTCTCCATGATTGATGTCAATGTTGTTGTTGTTGTTGTTGTTGTTAGCCTCAAGGGCAACATGCCGATTATCACTTGTAAGTCGCTTTGGACAAAAGCGTCTGCTAAATACATAAACATAAACACCTTAGATGTTATTAAGAGTCTGATTAAGCGTCTTAGAGAAGGATGTGAAATCGAGGAATAAAGAATCTTTTTCTTTATTAAAGTTAGAAAGTTCCGTCTTCTGAAGGAGACCGGAGAGGAAAAGCCACTTTGTGATGACGGTTTCCTAGATGGCGAGGTCATCAACGGGGCATGCGTTTTGGTCTGGAAAGCACAGTTTCTTGGGCAAAATGAAGATGGCTGTGGACGGTGTCATGACCTTTGCGTTCCATGGCTTTCTTACACTACATATCCGCCAGAAGAGGTAACATCAGCACTTGCTAGCAAAAGCTAGTCACATTCATTCATAATTAAGTAAAATGCATAAGCGACCCCTGTGTAATGAAATAGATTACAGTTTTTTAATGAGCCATAAGGCGTGGGATTCCATAGGAAATATGGAATCCACCTTACGGATCGGGGGGGTTATTTAAACCAGAAGATTGGATCTTTTTATTGCAGGGATTAGATAACCGTTACATATTCACTCAGATACAACAGAAGAGAGTCACGTTTAAAAGTTCAGAATTTTATTACTAACACATTAAACTAGACTGGCTTTCAAACTAAATGTATAGTGTAACTAAAAATGGAGTAGACGGTGAATGGATGACGTGTGATGTTATTGTTCTGACGGGAACTGAAGGTGTTGTCTTCGCATTAAGCTTTGGTTAGCTTCAGAAACACATGAGACACCATCATGCCGGTCTACCTACCCTTCGGGAAGTCCTCTGTAGATCAGGAATATCGAGGTCCGGTGGACCCTCTCTGGAACCGAGCCGGTAGGAAAAGCCGCGGTTCCAATCAAACCCGTCTTGAGTTACTTCCGGGCACACGACAAGTTATTGGCGTCTGGTGAGACCCAAGCCTGGGTCGGTGGATGGATGAGCTTTTGTTCTGAAAGGAGCTGCTGTCGCTGGTTGGTATAGCGACTTTCGGAACTGCGCTGCTCTGGGTGGCTGCATGTTGGAGTAGCTCTGTTGACTATATGTAAGTTTAGCCTTTTCTTGGGCATTTTTTCTTCTAGTTTCTCAAGAAAAACTGTATTTTTTTGGACACTTTACTTTTCTGTTTCTGGCGCTGTGAAGCTTGGAGAATTTTTACTGCTATTTTTTTAGCTTTTTTCACTTTTTGAGCATTTGTTATGATGCGTAACCATGGCAACAAGCTGGTTTACAATCGGGAGCAGCTGATTAACATTGGAAAGGCTGAAATAATACCTCATCTGAAGCCACAAATCCCAAATGAGCTAAAACGCAAGAAGCGTGGGTGCAGAGCGGGAGCAAAACGGAGACAGAGAAAGAGGAAATTCAAACCATCTCTTCCATCGATCATAATGGGCAATGTGAGATCACTGGCCAACAAGATGGAGGAACTCCAAGCCCTTTCAAGGACTCAGCCAGAGTTTCGGCAGTTTCTGAACCGCTGGAGGAGATAATGCAAAGAAGGATTCTCCAGAGAATCAAGAAAATGATGGACAACCCTGAGCATTCTCTTCACAAGACTGTCCGACAACGGAAGAGTGTCTTCAGTCAGAGGCTTCTTCAGTTTGGCTGCAACACTGACTGCTACTGGAGATCCTTCCTGCCAACAGCCATTGTAATATACAACAACTCTTTGATGACTTGATTATTATTATTATTATTATTATGAGCTACTACAGCAATCAATTTCCCTCTGGGATTAATAAAGTATTTTTGAATTGAATTGACTGGATTTTCCAGCTTGTCGTTGTTCTTTCAGTTAATGAGTTGAGATCAGGATTGGCCACTCCGTCACTTTCTCTGGAACGCTTTGAACTGGCGTTAGAGCTGACATGGCAGTCTTGAGCGAAGAAGGGAAAAAACAGTCTTCTGTTCCGTTACACCTGTAACTGTCCAGCTTTTCTGTAAGAATCACCACATTAAGTCTGGATTTCCAGTTAGTTTCTAGTCCACTCGTCCACAAATGAAGCCTTGATTTTCCTGTTCGACTGCATCGCGTTCGACCCGATGGGAACGACCCAATAAAAGCTCCCCTCACTTTGTGCTCATCAACAAAACTGCAAGTTAGAACAAATGTGTGATTTAAAAAGATCAGGCTGCTGTTATGAGCCTGAAGATGAAAATAAGACTCGTTTATATCCACTAATAAATTTTAGTTTGTGCTACAACTGAGTCGACTCTGTCGCCCTGCCTCTGGGGAAAATTCTGTCCGATGCAGCTCTGCTCATATTATTGTCATTTTTATTCTCAGTAAGAACTTTGTGTGTCACCTGTGTGCTTTCTAACAGGCCGTGCACACACTCATTTCCCTACATGAACAATATTTGGCCTCTCTGGGAAAACTGACTCCAGCGCAGGAGGATTCAGTCTGGCAGGTGATCATCAGCCAGCGAGGGGAGGTCAGTCGGTGTTTCTCATTACTGAATACGATTCGCTGCCCCTAAGAACAGGAAGCTGTAGATCTGCTTTTGTCTGACTTGGGTTTTAATTCTCGACAGGTGAACGACAGACACGATGCACTCCGGCGCTTCGAGTCGACCTGGGTCACTGCGGTAAAGCTGTGTGAGATGGCAGCGGAGGCAGCGTACGTTTCAGGTGAGGCTTTTCTTTTCTCGCGTTCCTTTCATCGTCCCATTTTCTCCAGCAGACGGATCTTTTTCTGTCACGCTGTTTGTCTTTGTGTTGAACATAAAGGAGATGGCGGACACGCCTGCCTGTGTAACGACTCCTCCTACAGGTGCTTTGAACCGTGTTTCTGTGTCTGCGTGTTTCAGGAGCCGAGCAAGCGTCCGTCATGGTGAGGACGAACATTCAGGTGGCCCAGTCGCAAGTGGAGGCGGCCCAGAAACTCTCACTGGATGCTGACAAGAAGCTGGCGGCGACTAAAGTCATGGAGGTTGAAAGGATGACACAACATGCTGCGTCTCTACAGAGTAGTGATGATGGCGAGGAGACACCTGAGGCCTACCTGAGAGAAGACTGAACCCCACAAGTATCAGAAAACATATGGATATAAGTGATTCTCTGTAAAAGTTCTATTTAAACAGTTTCCACAAAAGCCTCAGTTTGAAGAAATGGCTTACACCCTACAGGACTGATGTGCTAACAGCTAGTTAAAATCTGCCAACAATTATAAAGTCATTTAGTCGTAAAGATTTATAAAGTACCAAATGAGCAGCTGGGAAGTTCTGAAACTCGGCTGGTTCAGACTAGCTGTTAGCTGATTGTTAGCTATTTCTCCCAACAGAGGCTGTTCAGGAAGCTGTTTATAGAGTATAGCTTAATTATAAGTTTTACTGAGAAACGCACACGGAAATGGATAATAAAATCTAGTTAAATAGTTCTTTTTGTCCTGCATTTGAACACAAGCGACCATGCGGGAGTCGAAGCAGCTTTAAGATCTAAAAACTTTTTATTTAATGTTTTTTTAACAGCTGCTTAGGTAACCAAATGTTTTGATGTTTAATCTTTTTCTGTGAATTCAGCTTCCTCAGAATTCACTGTAATAAAGAGAAAATAAAATAAAAACAAAGAAAACTCATATGTTGATTTCATTTAATTATTATGCATGAAGGGAAACCCCTTCCCCAGTCTTAATGTGAATTTTTAGTTTTATTTGCGTAATGGCCAGATTTATTGAAGCACCCGGGAGCAGCACCGTCTCTGTCAGACTCTCCTCTCCTGGAAAATGACCAAATTCTTTTATTGTTGGGATTAAATCACCCTCCGAATCATTTACAGTCATATGGAAAAGCACATAATCTCTGACCAATTCCCAAAGCAGCCAGACATTAAAGATGACTCGTTTAGTAATAATTTTATTTTATAATCTTTTCCATTTGAAATAATAAACGAGAATGTGGCCTGAAGTCGAGTTTTTGGCCCCCAGTAAAGTCGGTTCTGCACACCACACCCTTTGGCGAAGATCCCACCCTGTGAGCTCTTTCTGCCGAGTTTCTCAGTTCTTGATGGTTTTTTTCCTTCTCATTAAAACATTTTATATCCTGCAGGATTTATGAGCGGCCCCTGCTGCTCTTCTGAGGTTTTTCCTGCAAGAATTAACTTATTTATTTTCTCTTTTCATTTCATTCAAAATTTATAAAATAGACACAAGCAAATACAGTACATGAACATAATGGAGAAAAAAGAAACATTTGAATGAAAAGGAGCAGATGGAAGAAAAATCTTATAATTTCTGCCTCTTTTAACAAAAATGATCTGTAAAACGTACACAATATAACCTCAGTCCCTTTCTACTTTTTATATATAATCATTGACATTTTAATTTACCTTTTCGTAATTACTTAATGCATTAGATTTTATACATTTTTTAAATATAGCACGTGAGTTTGATTCTTTAAAGAGCAAGTCACCCTCAAATCAACTTATTTTTTTCTGATAAACTATATAAATGAGCGTCTAATCGTACTGCAGACAAGTGTCATCAATAATTCGGCACTTTAGTGCATCTTAGTTAAAATTTAAATAATCTGCCTGAAACTGTCGGCGATGAACCGTCGTCAGAAATTACCGGAACGTGTTCTTTTCTTTGATAAAAGTTTGTTTTTCAGGCTTTATCGCTTAAGTGGTTTATCTGATTTGAGAACTCAGCTTTACGTCCCTGTTCTTATAGGTGCTTTAAAATCCTTGAAAATGTTAGAATTTTTAGCAAATTGCCTGAAACCAAAAGAAATTAGTTACAGAAAAATAACATTTTATGAGACAACGTACAATAATATTTTTTAGTATTTATGCACCATCATGTGTAAAGCATCTTTGCTGTAAGCTGCTGGAAAACCTTGAAAACTCACCTTAAAAGAGCTTAAATTTGATTTTATTCAGACTATACAGGTGCTGGCCAGTAAATTAGAATATCATCAAAAGGTTGAAAATATTTCAGTAATTCCATTCAAAACGTGAAACTTGTACATTATATTCATGCAATGCACACAGACCAATGTATTTCCGATGTTTATTACGTTTAATTTTGATATTTATAGGTGACAACCAATGAAAACATCAAATCTGGTATCTCAGAAAATTAGAATATTCTAAAGGCCAATGAAAAAATGTTTGTTTCTCTAATGTTGGCCAACTGAAAAGAATGAACATGAAAAGAATGTGCATGTATAGCACTCAATACTTAGTCGGGGCTCCTTTTGCCTCAATAACTGCAGTAATGCGGCGTGGCATGGACTCGATCAGTCTGTGGCACTGCTCAGGTGTTATGAGAGCCCAGGTTGCTCTGATAGTCGTCTTCAGCTCCTCTGCATTGTTGGGTCTAGCGTATTGCATCCTCCGCTTCACAATACCCCATAGATTTTCTATGGGGTTAAGGTCAGGCGAGTTTGCTGGCCAATCAAGGACAGGGATACCATGGTCCTTGAACCAGGTGCTGGTGGTTTTGGCACTGTGTGCAGGTGCCAGGTCCTGTTGAAAGGTGAAGTCTGCATCCCCATAAAGTTGGTCAGCAGCAGGAAGCATGAAGTGCTCTAAAACTTCCTGGTAGACGGCTGCATTGACCCTGGACCTCAGGAAACAGAGTGGGCCAACACCGGCAGATGACATGGCACCCCACACCATCACTGACGGTGGAAACTTTACACTGGACCTCATGCAACGTGGATTCTGTGCTTCTCCGCTCTTCCTCCAGACTCTGGGTCCTTGATTTCCAAAGGAAATGCAGAACTTGCTTTCATCAGAAAACATAACTTTGGACCACTCAGCATCAGTCCAGTCCTTTTTGTCCTTGGCCCAGGCGAGACGCTTCTTGCGCTGTTTCATGTTCAAGAGTGGCTTGACACACGGAATGCGACACCTGAATCCCATGTCTTTCATGAGTCTCCTCGTGGTGGTTCTTGAAGCGCTGACTCCAGCTGCAGTCCACTCTTTGTGGATCTCCCCCACATTTTTGAATGGGTTTGTCGTCACAATTCTCTGCAGGGTGCGGTTATCCCTAGAGCTTGTACACTTTTTTCTACCACATTTTTTCCGTCCCTTCGCCTGTCTGTTAATGTGCTTGGACACAGAGCTCTGCGAACAGCCAGCTTCTTTAGCAATCACCTTTTGTGTCTTGCCCTCCTTGTGCAAGGTGTCAATGATTGTCTTTTGGACAGCTGTTAAGTCAGAAGTCTTCCCCATGATTGTGGTGCCTTCAAAACAAGACTGAGGGACCTTTTAAAGGCCTTTGCAGGTGTTTTGAGTAAATCAGCTGATTAGAGTGGCAGCAGGTGTCTTCTATATTCAGCCTTTTCAGAATATTCTAATTTTTTGAGATACCAAATTTGGAGTTTTCATTAGTTGTCACTTATGAATATCAAATTTAAATGTAATGAACATTGGAAATACATTGGTCTGTGTGCATTGCATGAATATAATGTACAAGTTTCACGTTTTGAATGGAATTACTGAAATATTTTCAACCTTTTGATGATATTCTAATTTACTGGCCAGCACCTGTATGTGTCATTACTTGAAACAGAAAAAACTTTTTTATAGTTCGATATAAACCTTCTAGTTTATTTAAATTTATTCTTTTCTGGTCAGTCGAGGGGTATGTCAAATGTTTGCATAAAGCTACTCCCATTATCATCCTTGGACCAAGTTTAAAAAGCACAAATCATTTATTCACACAAACTGATTTTTAAGATTTTTATGCCTCTCGTAGAAGCGTCTGTAAAAACGGACTTCACCTGTTTGGTATTTCCATCTCACTGCTTCACTCAGCAGCGCTGCCTTTGCTGCTAATTATCCATGTCCTGACTCTCCTGTGGAGCTTTTAGGCCCTTTCTCATCCTCCCCTCCCTGTCGTCACTTCATCTGCAGCACCACATCTCTCCTCGCTGACTCGGGGCAGGAAACGGGCCGGCCTCCCTTTCTTTCAGTGTTTGCATTTATTTGATTAGCATTCAAATATCTCGATCTACCGCAAGCAACATAGCATCAGACAAGGCTAATCCACAGGCGCGAGCGTATTGTGCCAACATTTCTAAAAAATATATAATTTAGCATGCAGCTCATGTACATAAGGCTCGAAGCAAGAGTAAAACAAAATAAAATAATAGAAAATGTCCACCTTAGATGAGTAAATACATGAAATTTTATAACAATAATCAAAGTAAGGCAACCAAGAGTTTCAATATGATTATTTTTTCTCTTTTTATTCTTTTTCTAATAATGTAGTTTCATAGCTATTCCACGAGTTAACTCCTCCAACAGAAACACGTCTCTGTTTTATGTTTGTCCTTATCTGGTTTTAAAAAATAAAATAAAGGGACGACACAGAGACCTGTGAAACAGTTAAGATTTAATGGCAACAGTTTGTATTATTTTATGAAAAAAAAGTCATATTTTCACAATGTTATTCAAACATTAATATTTTGTCACAATTTATAACTGAATGTTAATTTAGCAAGCTTAATATTCAAATTGGTGTTAAATATTCATTTTACAATTCAGATACTTAGCTGAAGCGTAAATATTTATTTTGAAGTCAAAATGTTTAGTTGGGAAAAATAAATTATTACTTTATTTGTTTGAGTGGGACAAAGCATATTGATGAATGCACATAACAGAAATATGCCAGAATTAGCAAAAGGCTACTTTCCATCCGCAGTACCGTAGACACGAAGCACACACATTACATGATAGATAAGAGATACTCCAATACAAAACATAGTTAAAACATGAGTACAATAAGCTAATTACGCTACAACATTCCCTCAGTGTAAAAGACCAATAAAAGACACAAGCAATTTGGTGTTAAATATTTATCTTATTAACTAAATATTTAGTTTGGGCTCGCTAATTAAATATTTAGCTGGGACCTTAATATTTTGACTAAATATTTAGCAGAGACTTAAATGATTTAAACTAAATATTTATTTTGGAGTTAAATATTTAATTTGTCAACCAAATATTTCTTATGGAGCTAAACATTTGTAAACTTCTTATTTGGCTCGAAACTAGGTATTTAAATACGAGCTAACAATTTCATATTTTTTCAGTTATTTAATATTTAATTTGGGTAAATAAATGTCCATGTCTGGCCTAAATATTTAGTTTGGGCTTGCTAATTAAATATTTAGCTGGGACCTTAATATTGTAACTAAATATTTAGTAGAGACTTAAATGATTTCAACTAAATATTTATTTTGGAGTTAAATATTTTATTTGTCAACCAAATATTTCTTATGGAGCTAAACATTTGTAAACTTCTTATTTGGCTCGAAACTAGGTATTTAAATACGAGCTAACAATTTCATATTTTTTCAGTTATTTAATATTTAATTTGGGTAAATAAATGTCCATGTCTGACCTAAATATTTAGTTTGGGCTTGCTAATTAAATATTTAGCTGGGACCTTAATATTTTAACTAAATATTTTGCAGAGACTTCAATGATTTAAACTAAATATTTATTTTGGAGTTAAATATTTAGTTTGTGGACCAAATATTTATTATGGAGCGTAATATTGTATGACTAACGGTCATAAGCCTTCTCCAAATCCACAAAACACATGTTGGTTGGGCAAACTCCCATGCCCCCTCCATCACCCTTGCAAGGGTATAGAGCTGGTCCAGAGTTCCACGGCCAGGACGAAAACCACATTGCTCCTCCTCAATCTGAGATCCAACGATCGATCGGACCCTCCTCTCCAGTACCTTGGAGTAGACCTTTCCAGGGAGGCTGAGGAGTCTAATCCCCCTATAGTTGGAACACACCCTCAGGTGACCCTTCTTAAAGATGGGGACCACCACCCCGGTCTGCCACTCCACAGAAACTGCCCCCAATGACCACGCAATGTTGCAGAGACGTGTCAACCATGACAGCCCTACAACATCCATAGCCTTGAGACACCCAGGACGATTCTCATCCGCCCCGGTGCTCCGCTGCTGTGTAATTGTTTGACTACCTCAGCAACTTCTGCCCCCAAGATTGGACAGTCCATCCCCAGGTCTCCCGGCTCTGGTTCCTCCTCGGAATGCGCGTAGGTGGGATTGAGGAGCTCCTCTAAGTATTCCTTCCACCGTCCGCCTATAGCCCCAGTTGACGCCAGCAGCTCCCCATCCCCACTGTAAACAGTGTGAGTGAGTTGCTGCCTTCCTCTCCTGAGGCACCGGACAGTTTGCCAGAACCTCTTTGGAGCCGATCGATAGTCTTTCTCCACGGCCTCACCAAACTCCTCCCACGCCCGAGATTTTGCCTCGGCAACTGCCACTGCTGCACCCCGCTTGGCTATCCGGTACCTGTCTGCTGCCTCCAGAGACCCACAGACCAGCCACGCCCTGTAGGCCTCCTTCTTCAGCCTGATGGCTCCCCGAACCTCTGGTGTCCACCAGCGGGTACGGGGGTTGCCACCACGACTGGCACCGGCCACCTTGTGACCACAGCTAGGAACAGCCGCCTCAACAATCGCAGAGTGGAACAAGGCCCACTCGGAGTCGATGTCCCCAACTGCTCTCGGGACGCGGTCAAAGCTCTGCCGGAGGTGAGAGTTGAAGACCGTCTTGACAGGTTCTTCTGCCAGGCATTCCCAGCAGGCCCTCACTATGTGTTTGTGTCTGCCAGGTCTACGCGGCATCTTCCCCTGCCATCATATTGTGAACTGTTATATTTATAAATAAATGAAAAACAAAACCTTGTTTTTTCTCTTTTGGCAGGCTAATTAACCCAAAAATATTGCTTTTAAATTCTGTTTTACTTCATAATCAGCACCCCATATGTTTTGTTCATTTTACTCCAGCAGATGGCAGTCTAACCCCATAACTAGCTTGTATTTGAAACTTCCAAAGTGGAATTCACTGCAGCATCGCTTCTTATGTTTATTTTATTGTGGGCGGATTGCATTGTGCTGTAATCCCAGTAGATCTGAACCGTTTTAAATGTCCTAACTCCAGACCAGGACAGACCACTGGCTGAGACGATGTTGCAAACCCTGGTGTAAATTCTTACACTGCATGTTGTCTTTCCTCGCAGCTCTCCACGGCTGTGCACAAGCTGGAACACATTTTGTCACCTCTTAGATGCATTTTGTGTTTGATATAAGATCCGCACCCACCCTGTGAGTAAAGTGCCTCTTATTTATCCGCCTTTACTCTCCAGAGTTGTGCACAAGCTCTGTAACAGGTACACTGTTCTAATTGACTTCACACATACCTTCTAAAGGTCAGCGTGCACCGCAGAGGGTCATTTCTGAGGGAGCTCATTACGAGGAAGACCTACGTGGAGCTGCAAACATGATTGTGTAGCGTCAGCAGTTAAGTGACCCCTCTCTGCAGCTTTGGCAGAGGATGGAGCCATGAGTGTGGCAGCAAAGGAGTGGGTGTTTCTTTTTTAGTGGTGCAAGGACTGGCTCACCAGTGTGACTGGTGAGGAATGCTGTGTTTAACAAAGGCTGTTTTCACAGACGTCGCCGACAGCCTGTGTGGATGTGCAACCACTGGTCACAGGGGAGCTGGAGCCAAAGTGGAGGACCATTTCTGCAGCACAAACCCTCCAGTGAGCTCGCCACAATTACAAAGGTTGTGCTCCATAAATGCTTTAAAACTATTTAGTACCATGGAGGTGGTTTAAACATTTATGGAGCATTGTGCTGGTGGTGCGAAACCGCTCGCTGAAATACCTCCTCCAGAATTGATTATGCTTTTAGCACATTAAGTTTTCGCCGCAAGCAAAATAGATATGAATGATGACCTCATAAAACACCACCATCTATTGCACCAACTGTACCAATCTGATGCAAAGTGACCCAGAGGGTGGGATTGATTGGTGAAAAGGGGGCAGCACTTTCACCTTGGGATTTATAGCTCTTTGAGGGTATAAACATCTCACCAGAGGGTGTAAAAGCTGAGGGTACACCCCGGTGACATGTCATGGGTGATGCTTTAATCACAGTGAAGCTGAGCTGCAGAGCTGCAAAGACCAGGTCTCCTGGTGGGGACTCGGAGCAGAGACGAGCTACGAGAGGACAACGCTGCAAAATTAAACTGGTGACTCAGTGTGAGGCGGGCATTTTTTTTCTTATCTTTTGTGAACAAATATAATGTCCGCGGCCTAAAACTGCTGAGGGAGCAAGTTTAACACTTCAAGCTTGGGCGCATGATAATAACACTGCTGCGCGCAGCACAGGATTCCTGAACGAGTAAAAGCTGTAATTATCTCACAGGAAAGAACAATGCTTCATTCCCACTTTGTTTAAGGATGCAGGAGATACAGCGTGGCCGCCTTCGGACTGCTGGAGCTCATGTTTTCAGCACCTTGCTGGCATGGTGGGATTGTTTTGTCCTTCACTAGATGCACTCCTGGGCTTCACATTAACTCTCTCCCTCGTTTCCCTGCTCTCCCACAGGGTTAACTGGTTACACATTGCCAACAAAACAACTGTGACCATCACGTGCGCATTCTTGACATGCTCATGAAAAGACATCAAGTAAATAAACTTTGATAAAAATTCATTATAATTGACTTTAAGAGATTTTATACCAAATAGCCTGGTGCTGCCCAGGATAGAGAATTGCTTTGGATTGATCCAATCAGCTGGTTTCTATTATAGAAGCAACTTTGACTGATTGGAGATGTAAAACCTTATGGACCTGATTCTGGTGCAAGGTGTTAACTGGTTTAAATAAATATTTGTCTCATGTGTGTTGTTTCTCGTGACAAAAACAAAGTGCAAAGTTAAAAGCAGCTCAAAAATAGCTGATTTTAGAGGTTAAAGTGTCTCGGTTTGGTTTCTGTGATAGAAAGGAAATCTGACACATTTGATTTCTGATTACTTTTGTTGCAATAATTTCTGAATTTAGATCCCGGACGAGCCCCCTATTGCTTTTGCAGTCAGAAGGTGTGAAAAAACTTTAAATGAGAAAAGAGACCAAACTCTGTCCTACAGTCTGGTTAAGCCACATTACAATTCAAAACTTGCAGATGAAAATGTTAGCTAGAAATAGAACAGGCTTGTTGGCAAATGAAACAGCAGGCCAATCAGTAGGTTTCTAATTTGATGCTCACTACACCCATGGGATCTGCCAAAACTAGAAAAAGGTTTCAGTGTCTGAAGCAATGTGATGCAACTGGCTTTCTGTTCAGTCATTGCAGCGAGGATGATAATCATCCAAGAAAGGTAAATGGTGATTTGAACAATGAACGGTTTTAAAGCAGTTTTGGCTCATTGCAATACCCGGTGGATCCTGGAACAGGGGATTCCCCTCTGCAGAAAACACCACTTCACTTCTACCTCCTTGTTTTAGAGAGAAAAAAAAAGAATAACCTCAAAATGTGAGAAAAAAATTCATGATTCCAAATTAACTTAGTTTGCCTACAGCCTTTTCTTTCAAGAAAATGTAAAAAATTAATAGTTCATGTGTTTTAAATGAGACATATAATTTTTTTCTTTACTTATGACACTTCTATGGTCGATACAAAGCACATTCCTAAAGTTTTTTGCACAAAAAACCCTCATTCATGAAATTTTCAGAACCTTTCGTAATGAGCTGTTTCAGGGCTATCTCACTTTAAGGAAACAAGCTTGGGCTGGCCACGCCCACTCACCACCCGATCAGGCTGCTATAGGCTGAGAAGCTCCAATATCCGGGAGGCGTTCAGAGTAGAGCCGCTGCTTCTCCAGCAGCAACTGTCTTTTTGCACTTGAAAGGTGGTTCTATTCTACTTTCCCCGTTTGTGACATCACAAATGGGGACTTTTTGAAATGGCTCATTTTAGGCACAGAATTGCTAAAACCAAACACTGACATAAAATATATGTTTTTTTTTTCACGTTTAGTGTTTATAGAGGCAGTAGAGACACGCATGGCAGCAAAATATGTCCCCTTTAATGTGGAAGTATTATGATGATCAATTAATATTTTACTCACATGATATATACATTATAGATACAAGACATTTTTGATGGATGGAACGAGATGTGGTAAAACAGTGTTGCTTAACATACGATTCTTTGCCATTTCTTTAATTAAAAGTGTTTTATGACAGCAGAAACGCAAAGTGGCCCAAGTCACAATAGCTAATAGGTCATCTCTCTGAGCAGAACTAATCTCTTTTAAGAGCTATCTACACCAGGCCCTAAACTAATCAATGATAAGTTCTTTAACCACATCTTTACTTTGATCAGGCACACATTCAGTGGCACGCAGGAAATGCTTGTGATCGTGTCATCTGATGTTGCTTTAGAGGTGGAGGCAGTAATCTTGAACACATGGTGTGTTACACATCAGATAATTATCCGTAGCTCAAGGTGCAGAATGGCCTGTTTAAAAATTAACTAATAAATCACTGCGCCAATCTAATTCCTTAGGGGTGAAGCTGGATCCGTCCCATGTTGTGTTGATGCAATAACATTCAGGGGTATTCTCACAAACATGCACGTTGATATTTTAGAGTGTAGAACTTTAATGAGGTGTTGGATAGTTTTGGGAGGACCGCAGACGCAGCGTGATGCTCGTCATGTTGCAGCTGTGTAGGAACCCGCCATTGGACTGACCTACGCGTTTAATGTTTTAACTTTAGCCTTTTTTCAAACCCCGAGTGTGACGCAATCGATTAAACATGAAAGATGAAAGAAACGATCGTTAAAAGCGGCGTCTGTGCGCGCGTGATCGTGCACTGTTGCTGTTTGTTGTTGTGCAGACTTGGTACAGCCCACGCGCACCGGTCGCTATGGTGAGCTGCTCCAGGAGCGCGAGCCAGACACACAGAGACCAGGCGCGAGCTAGGAGCGAGGAGGACGGAGCCGAAAAGTGCCGAAGCGCACAGAAAACACTGAAATTATGGAGGATAGGAACACGCACAGGGGGAGTTTAACGAACGGAATCTGGCTTGTGACGTTTCTGCTCATCCTGGACCGACTTACCGGTGAGTTAACGGTCCCTTGGCCGTTTTTTTGGGGGGGCTGGCTCGTGTGACTTTGGGGAGAAGTTGCTCGTTAGGATCCTCTCAGTAGTCATCGGTACAGCGGGGCACTCCAGAACCAGCGAACCCACTTTATGCTAATCTGGACTCGCTCGGACCCAGCTAGCATCACTGAAGTTACTGATGAAGAAGTAGTTATTGTTTGGAACGTCGGTAACGTCGCGACGGGGGGAAGTTGCCGCTGGCGTCCGTTGACCGTTAGCTAAACCTCGGATTCCCCTATTTGGGTACAACTCCGTTACGTACACTTGTTTGCCACACACTCATTCGAGCTCATTCATGTCGGTTTTATTTTAAAAACATTACTTTTCATTGTGGTTTGGTGGCGCTGCGCACACTTTTTTTTGTCTTGTTTCAAGCTAACATCTTCCAGGGAGTGTGAGGGAAATACCGGCTGGGGGTTCTCCCTCTAAGATGGGTTAAAGAACAACAGCACGGGTCCGCAGTTCACCAAAATAGAAACGAAACGGAGTAATCAGGGCGTTACTTGTGGGAAGCGAAGAGGAGCTCCTGTGTGGAGAAGTTTGCCAAGAGTTTTGGTTGCAGATGGTGGGATGAGCGGTTATATGAGACACGGGCAGGAGGAGGTGCAGCAACCAGGCTGCTTCACTGTGGGAGCTGGCAGGAGGGGGTGGATGGCGTGAGGCGTATCTCAAAGCTCTCACTGCAGTCCCAGAGACTCTGGAAGTATTGACCTGCGTTTGGGCACCCTGCCAGCCAAAGAGCACCCTCCAGTCCCTTTACTGTCCCAGGAAGAGCAGCTGGAAGGCTTTGCTGCATCCCATCCTTGAGCTGGGATTACAGACATGACAGGGAGAAGAGGGGACAAACACAGGTGGCTGCAGGGTAAATGCCACCCAGGAATGCACCACTAGTTCGTTCAAGAGCAGTCAAATCTTTTCAGGCATGCATACATGTCATTAGGCCCTTAAATAAAAGTGAATAAGTTTTACTGCATGGTCCCACCATGACATGTATGCATTTAAAGGCTATCATTATCTGCTTCCATCTGCTGCAGCCAGTAACCATGAACACTTATTAATTAGCTGAGTAGTCTCTTTCTAAAAGGCTTAGTCATGAAGCCTTTCATGAGAAAATATCAAATAGTAGTTTTGATAACTGGATATTCACAATCTGAAACCCTGTCCACGAGTAGCCAGGTGTCCCTCAAAACAAGATAAGTTTCTACGGTTTGGCCCGTCATCCACACCAAAGAGAAGATAAACGGCAACAAAAACAATTATTTCAAAAACTCAGACCAAAGGGAAGAATTGTAAATTCTCTGTCAGCATTTGCTTTTTGCCGTAAACCGGTGTTATGGGTTTGCAATGTCTCTGCCCACGACAGAAAGGCTCTGATATCACATGTATGACCTGTATTTACACCACTCTAGTCTATTTTTACAAGTTCAGTCACTGCTTTAGGTAGAAGACCAACAGCAAAGGACAACGTTAAGGGCCGCCGCCTAGCAGTTCCAAGTCCAAGAAATGTTTTTCAGCAAAGACACTGACTGTTTACTGCCACCAAAGGCCAGTGACAGGCTCCTGATGAATGAACTTCAGTGTTCTGGATTTTAGGGTGAAAATGAGGGAGTTTGAACCTAAGTTTTTTTCTCATAGATGGGCGAGGGGGGGTGTTCAGTTGTGCTAAAACCATGTGTGCATGGCCAGAGAAGCCCCACTCGAAATAATTGACCTTACGTCTGAAATCTGCTCATCTAGCCACTGGTTTGCTTCTGTGTCGCCTTCATGCTGTAGTTCTTCTGTCTGTACCCACAAAGCTGTGGTTCATAAATCAACTCTGGGAACTGATAAACAACACGCTGTTGCAATTTAGGCTGATTAGCTTCCAGATGAACTTTTTGGCACCGTGCATGTGCAGAATTGCTGTCCGACGACACATCTGAACAACCAGATTAACTCATTAACATCACAGAAGACATATTAGGCAGCAAAAAGGAGCTATGTGCATCTTTCTGACTCTCGATCATCTTTTTGACGTGTATGGGTAACGCACAGGGACATGGTGACATCAGGGTTCTGATGCGTGACGTTGTCCGATTACATTTTAAGGTTCATTCGGTGTGGCTACAGACTGTGAGGTCTGTAATTGAAGAGCCAGGTTTTGTGGTTTCTTCTCCAGGGGCCGCGTGATTCACAATATAAATAAATAATGTAGTAATGGAGCCACCTAAATTACAGACCCAAACCAGAAATAGATTTAAAGAAGAGCCGTCTGACTAAGCTGTTTTGGTTAAGGGTTAATGACTTTGTCACCTCATGGCGTAGGTCAGATCAGGTCAGGACCCTTTGTTTGGGAAGTCTGTCCCATAACTTAATATAGACGAATAATCCCACTTATTATGTTAATGAGTACAAACCTTCTGTCATGTTAGCTTTTAAACACACGGTCTGAAAACGATTCAACTTTAAACTTGATTGAATAAACCAGATTGCTGTTGGTGTTCAAATGAAAAATATCTTGGGAAACGAGTTATTTCTAAATGTTTCTCAGTTAAAATGATGATTAATTTAAATGAAAGCAGGTTGGAAGTGACTGTGCTGTGGGTAACAGCTGTCACACCCATCTGATCCTTCTAATTTGAGCATAAGTCTTTGTTGTGAAGCAGCTGATTGAACAGTTCTAATCACTTTAAATGCAGTAAGTGTTTTCTTTTGGAAGGAACGCCATCGGCAGACGAGTGGCGGGGCTTTGTTGTGTTTTGTGTGGGGTTCAGGGAGCAGCTCGTGGTCGCCGGCTTCTGTCGACTCCACCCGTTGCTTCTTTCCTACGGCAGATGTTAGCGACCGTCAGTGGGGGTGAACTCCCTGGTGGTTCAGTAATGGACTCTAATCTCAAATATGATGATTTTCATGCTTTTTAAGGCAGATCACCAAAATATCCGTTTATAAAATCTAGATGTGGATTCTTGTTTTAGTATAAAAATTATAAACAAAGGCTGAATCCTGCTTCCAGGTGCGTCAAACTCGGCCCCCTTTTTAAGTCACATGGGAAATCGGCATTTACTTTTACTTTTAACAGCAAAGATTAAATTAATATATTCATTTCAAACCTCAAACAGCTGCTCTGGGCCCGTAGGTGTCCACGCAGCTTTTCCTGTCGTTTTTTCCGTAGCACTCGTATAAATACACAAACTGAGCAGTAAGTATTATTTCCTCCAACATTCTTATTAGACAGAACACTTGGAAAGAGCTGCAGATTTGCCACGGGCTCCACCTTTCAACACTTCTGCGCTCTGCTTTCCCAAACTAAGTGAAGGGAGCAGCTTCAGAGCAGGAAGCGGCCTCACTCGTGAGTGGGAAAAGAGGATTTTCCCAAAAATCTGTTATGATAATATTGTGAAAGTCAACAGTTGCCAACCTTTGTTTTTTACAAGGCCCTGGTGGTTGTAACTAGAAGAAGAAAAAACCCGGCACCTCCCTCCTTCCTAACCCCTGGAACGTCATTAGCACCCATTTTCAGAACAATAACCACACTTTTAATCCAAAACAACAAAAGAACACTTTAAACTTGAACTCTGTGAATAAGCTCGGGGAGACGGTGGCACAGGAGTTAAGTTATCTTCCCGTAATTGAAAGGTTGCAGGTTCGAGCTTCGCTCAGTCTGTTGGTGTCGTTGTGTCCTTGGGCAAGGCACTTAACCCACCTTGCCTGCTGGTGGCGTTCGGACGGATCGGTGGCGCCTGTGTAGGGCAGACTCGCCTCTGTCAGTGTGCCCCAGCGCAGCTGTGGCTATAAACTAGCTCATCACCACCAGGGTGTGAATGTGTGAAAGGGTGAATGACTGGTTGTGTTGTAAAGCACCTTGGGGGGTTCCAGGGCTCTAGAAGGCGCTATAACAAAGACAGGCCATTTACAGCTTTGGTGTTTTCCTCATGATTTGTCACTAAAGTGGGACCATATGCTGAATAAACTGGTGCATCCTGTTGATTTTGTTGTTAACAGAGAAAAAGTGTTCCTGAGGTCAATCATTGAATCTGTTGGCTATTTGCACATTTGAGATGTTTAGTTAACACACACTGACCTGCAGCTTCAGTGGGTACGCCTTGCTGGTTACTGGGTCGGACCCCTAGTTTTCCCTCAGAACATCCTTAGTTCTTTGTGGCAAAGAGGTTGTAAATTTCACTCAGAGGTTCTGGTCCGTATCACCATGATATCCGCTCCTTCCATGATGAGAAGCTCATGTTCTACCACATCCCAATGATTCTGGACTGGACTGGGACCTGGTGACTGGAGGCCGTTGAAGTCCAGTTAACTCATGGTCATGTTCTAGAAACCAGTTAGATGATCGAAGCTTTGTGACATGAAACATGTTACTGCCATCAGAAGATGGAAATGGACATTATGGTCCAGTTCTGTTCAGTTTCCATCAGGTGTGGTCTTCCATCTGCATCAAGGTTCAGCCTGCTGCTGTGGTTCAAAGATGTTCTACAGACCAGTGGAACCAGTGGTTAGTGGATCTACTGTTGCTTTTGTATTACCTAGAACCAGTCTGCCCAGTGTCTCCAGTCCCTTGTTATCAACAAAACACACACACACACACACACACACACACACACACACACACACACACACACACACACACACACACACACACACACACACACACACACACACACACACACACACACACACACACACACACACACACACACATTTTTAGACCATTCTCTGTAACCCCTAGAGAAGGTTGTGGGTGAAAATCCCAGCCTCTCAAATGATCAGACCAGCCTGAGTGACACCAACAACCATGCGTCATTCTGATGCTCAGTTTGAACTTCAGTGAGTCGTCTTCATCGTGTCGTGTGATTGGCTGATTAGCTGTTTCCTAATAAACCTAATTTAGTGGCCAGTGAGTGTGTTTTCACAGAATATTATTATTTTGGGAGTGAAGCAAAAATGTCCGTCAGTGTTTCAGGTTGT